TCCCTACCCCTCCCCACAACAGACACCCTGTGAGGTAGGCGGGGCTGAGAGAGCTCTCTCGAGAATTGCCCTTGAGAGAACAGCTCTGAAAGAACTTGTGACTGACCCAAGGTCACACCAGCAGCTGCATGTGGAGGAGTGGGGGAATCAAACCCGGTTCTCCCGGATCAGAGTCCACACTCTTCACCACTACACCAAACTGCCAGATTTGGGGGGAGGGAGCCTGATGAGGTTGGGGTTTGGGGAGGGGAGGGACCGCGGCCGGATATAATGCCACAGAGTCCACCCTCCAAAGCAGCCTTTTTCTCAAACCCGGTTCTCCCAGATTAGAGTCCGCACACTTAACCACTACACCAAACTGGCTCTCTGCACCAAACTGGCTCTATGAAGCTGCTTTACCCTGAATCGGACCACTGCTCCATCAAAGTCAGTCTGGTCTACGCGGACTGACCCTGGTTGCCCAGGATCTTAGACCAGTGTTCCCTCTAAGCTGAGTTAGTGTGAGCCAGCTCAGAGTTTTTTTTAGCCTCCGGCTCACACATTGTTGTCTTAGCTCAGGAAGGAAGGCTCCAGAACAAACTGATTTGTGCAGCAGCCCAATCGCTCACAACTTCTGCTCACAAGACTCCCTAGCTTAGAGGGAGCATTGACAGAGGTCTTTCGCATCACTTGCTACCTCATCCTTTAAAGTGCTGGGGGGTTGAAGAAGAGGAGCAGAGCTGGTTTTTAACACATGGATGTTATTCCAGAGACAAGATTAGGCCATTTCGAACACCAGATTTCTGGGGAGAAACTAATGGAGAATTGTTTTTGAGACGTCCCATCTTTCAAATCTAGTTTGAGCTTTTCTCTACCCGAAGAAGTCTCAAAGCGGCTTACAGCCACCTTCCGTTCCTCTCCCCACAACAGGTGCCTTGTGAGGCAGGTGGGGCTGAGAGAGTTTGGAGAGAACTGTGACTGGCCCAAGGCCACCCAGCAGGCTTCAATGGGGAGGAGTGGGTGGGGGGAGTGGGAAATCAGGCCCCGCTCTCCAGATTAGAGTCCGCCGCTCTTAGCCACTACGCCACATGAGATTGAACCTGGGACCTTCTATGTGACAAGCAAATGCTCTGTCGCTGAGCCACGGGGCCCCTCCCCAAAATACTGAGACTGGCCCCAGATCGCCGAGCAAGCTTCCATTGCAGAGTGAGGAATTTGGACCTGGGTTTTCCAAATCCTAGACCAGTGATGGCGAACCTTTTAGAGACCGAGTGCCCAAAGTAAAGGTAAAGGTTCCCTTGCTCGAAAGCCAGTCGAATCCGACTCTAGGGTTGCGGTGCTCATCTCTGTTTCAAAGCCAAAGAGTCAGCACTGTCCGAAGACGTTTCCATAGTCATGTGGCCGGCATGACTAAACACCAAGGCGCACGGAACGCTGTTACCTTCCCACCGAAGCGGTACCTATTTATCTACTTGCAATTTCTTGCTTTCGAACGGCTAGGTTGGCAGGAGCTGGAACTAGAGATGGGCGCTCACTCCGTCATGCGGCACCCGGGTCTCGAACTGCTGAACTACCGACCTTCCACAGCCTGCAGTTCAGCGTCTTAACCACTTGAGCCACCGCAGCTCCAAAAAAAGCCACCGAGTGCCCAAACTGCGACCCAAAACCCACTTATTTATCGCAAAGTGCCAACACGGCAATTTAACCTGAATACGGAGGTTTTACTTTAGAAGAAAACAACTCATACATTAACTTCAGATGATCCAAACAAAGTAAGGAAAGCAATCCCAAATGCTTTCATTGACTTAAAATGATTTGGCAGAGAATCCGACACTTTAATGATGGTCTGGGCCGGGCTGGGGCGATGTGCCACGCGTGCCCACTGAGAGGGCTCTGAGTGCCACCTCTGGCCCCCGTGCCATAGGTTCGCCACCACTGTCCTAGACCGACACTTTAACTGCTACACAATGCTGGGAGGTGAAATGTCCATGCTCCATTCAGACCACCCCACCCACAAAAAAGTTTTGGAACCAAATTAGACAGGATGGGGGTCACATGAACACATGAAATTGTCTTCTAGTGAATCACACCACTGTTAGATCAAGTTCAATAACATCTGTTCAGACTGGCAGCAGCTCTCCAGGGACTAGCCAATCAAATCTTACTTTGCTGATTTAACAACATAAAATGCATCGTTTATAATTCGGCATATACAATTGTCTCCTGCCAACCTAGCAGTTCGAAAGCAAGAAATTGCAAGTAGATCAATAGGTACCACTTCGGTGGGAAGGTAACAGCGTTCTGTGCGCCTTGGTGTTTAGTCATGCCGGCCACATGACCACGGAAACGTCTTCGGACAGCGCTGGCTCTTCGGCTTTGAAACGGAGATGAGCACCGCAACCCTAGAGTCGGATTCGACTGGCTTTCGAGCAAGGGAACCTTTACTTTTACCTTTATATACAATTGTACTACTGGGTGCACTTATGGAAGTATAAAGATCTTCATTTTCTGGAAGAAAAACCACAAGTACAGCCGATACTTGAAAAAGAGAGGTATCGCTACCCAAAATGTCCCAATTTATCCATCGGAAAAATGGAAGAAGTCCTCTGTCTTTCTCACGCTATACAACTTGGGTGTGGAAAGTCTTGCCTTAAGAAGCATTTGATGCCTTCTCAATGACAAAACAGCTCAGGGTTCTCTTTCCAGGGCTCCCCAAATTTGCGGTTGGAAGAACATGAACAAAAACGGGCAAAAACGTTATTCCCCTCAAGTTTTTTTTCTGGCTTTTCCCAGGCCTTCACTCCGCCACCCCCACCCCCCAAACACCCTCGCTTTCTCACAAGTTGCTGGTTTTTCACCGCATCGGCACTTTGGGCAGAAACTTCACAAAGAAGGAGATCAAACCCAGAGACGCGAGATGAGAAATCTGCTCTAGATGAGAAAAATGTGCTGATGCGCCGTCTCTGAACGCTGAGCAAACTAACGCCCTGTCGGTTCCAGCCACACCCAGGTCCTCGCCGGCTTTTAATCATATGGCGGAAGCTGCCTGTACAGTTCTAAACACCCCCCCCAGTTCTTCCTTTATTGCCAAACCCTAGGAATGTGCTTTTTAAAACAGTTAGAAATCTGAATTCAAAACCTTAAGATGACATTGCAGATGTATGGTTGGCTGAACATGGAAACCTCCACGTTCAGAGGCAGTCAACCTCTGAATCCCGGTGCCACGAGGCAACAGGCCTCGGCCTCTATGCCCTGTTGCTGGCCATCCAGAGGAACTGGTTGGCCGGTGTGTGAGACGGGATGCTGGACTAGATGGACCCTCACTGGTCTGATCCAGCAGGGCTCCTCTTAGGTTCTTATCAGGGGAAGGCCTCGGCCTCTATGCCCTGTTGTTGGCCCTCCAGAGGAACTGGTTGGCCCCTGTGTGAGATGGGATGTTGGACTAGATGGACCACTGGTCTGATTCAGCAGGGCTCTTCTTAGGTTCTTATCAGCGGAAGGCCTCGGCCTCTATGCCCTGTTGTTGGCCGTCCAAAGGAACCAATTGGCCACTGTGTGAGACAGGAGGCTGGACTAGATGGACCCCCACTGGTCTGATCCAGCAGGGTTCTTCTGATGCCCTTACCAGGGGAAGGCCTCGGCCTCTATGTTGCTCTGTTGTTGGCCATCCAGAGGAACTGGTTGGCCACTGTGTGAGAAGGGATGCTGGACGATGGACTATTGGTCTGATCCAGCAGGGCTCTTCTTAGGTTCTTATCAGGGAAAGGCCTCGGCCTCTATTCCCTGTTGTTGGCTGTCCAAAGGAACCAATTGGCCACTGTGTGAGACTGGACGCTGGACTAGATGGACCCTCACTGGTCTGATCCAGCTGGGCTCTTCTGATGCCCTGAAGAGATTGGATTTATACTCCGCCCTTCACTCGGAGTCTCAGAGCGGCTTACAAACTCCTTTCCCTTCCCCTCCCCACAACAGACACCCTATGAGGTAGGTGGGGCTGGGAGAGCTCTTTCAAGAACTGCCCTTTCAAGGACAGCTCTGACAGCACTTTGACTTGCCCAAGGTCATCCAGCAGCTGCACGTGGAGGACTGGGGGATCAAACTCAGATTAGAGTCCGTGCTCCTAACCACTACACCAAACTGGCTCTTAACCACTACAGCAAACGAGCCCGGAGCTCAGAGCTCATGCAGAGATACAGCAGGCAGACTCCTGGGGAGAGGGCCTCCTTCCATAGCTCTGCAGCAAAACTGACGGAATGATCCAGTGATCCCTGCCATAGCGACGTGGCGGAGTTCCCTATGCTTGGCAGAGGCGGGAAATGCAAGGAGCCAAGACTGGAGCGAGGCAGCGTGCAGAGTTGCAGCCGGCTGCCTCTTCTCGATGGGTAGTTCAGTCTCCGAGGACCCTTTGATGAATGTACGGTATTTATTCGAGTGGGCAAAA